GCCTCTCCTCTGTGATTTGACAGTCTGACATACAGGAGCCTCCCACACCCTCCCCACTGACATGGCCAGCCCACTCAGCCCAGCCAGGAATAGCACGGGTGCTGATCACTGCACGGCACATGTGGCTACAGTGCTTTTGTTAAGGGGAGGCCTTCCTTTGTGTCCCCACAATGTGATGAGTACCCATTTTTTTCCCTTTTAATAAAAATCTGTGACTGCAATGAAAAAACTAAAAATGCAAAAACTCCTATATTTTGCTTGATTACTTATGGTTATGGTTAGGGCTGGGTAGAGGTTAAGGCTGTCATAGTTATCGTTAGCATTTTTTCCATAGAAATGAATGAGCAGTCCCCATAAAGATATGTTTACCCGACATGTGTGTGTGTGTGTGTGTGTGTGGAATATGTTTATATTACATTGTGGGGACCATTTTAATGGAGACCATTTTTCTTTCATGGTTAGGGCAGGATAGGGGTTAAGGTCGTCATGTTGGGATTAGTGTTTTCCCCATAGAGATGAATGGAGAGTCCCCACAAAGATATAATTACAAACCTGTGTGTGTATGTGTGTGTGTGGGGAGCAGGTCTCTCACCCTCTCATCTTCCATGTTCGGTAATTTAAGACCCTTCTTGTTGGCTTAATGGAAGATTGGGACGTGGGCGGGGCACTTACTTATACTCTGAAAATTAACACCCTGATTTTTTTTTCTTGCGTCAGAGTAACCGGAACATCGACATACCGGGCTGAAAGACCGAAGAATCGGCCAGCCAGTTTGATCAGCATGTGTGAAACTGCACTGAGCATCAGCTCGGAAGGTTCTGAGATGAACTGCAACACAAAATATAGAAAAAGTGGAGGGGAAGGGTATATGACGACATGGCAGCATTTATCCTCCTCTGCCCCCCCCTCCCCCCCGTCCACACACCCCCAGTCTTCTGATTCTTTCGTCACACACATGAATGAACTTATGGTAACCAGGAGAGTTTAATTTTAGCATCACCACGTCATGGCTCTGTAATCAGTCCTGCTATTTGTGTCTCACACTCCCACTCTCTTCCTCTCTCTCCCTTTCCAAGCTGTGTGAATAAGGCTAAGGGGGAGGGGATTTGTTGCTAGGTGACCTCACCCTGCCTATCATGTCATGTGATTGGAGGTGACCCTGACAGCTTCCTGGCTGATGCCCCCAAATCCCGCCCCCCCGACACGTATGACAGCGAATGGCAGCACTCCTGCGAGAAGCCCATTGTGACACCTCCCCCCCCCCCCACCATAAACCCAAGCCAGTTTTAATTGCCTCATCGTGTCACACAGATTATCACTCTGAGGGGTGGATGAGCACGTGGACGAGAAAAGCCACAGTTACTCTGATGGAAGTGATTCGGCTCTGGTGCGCCCCCCTGACGTGCGGCATAGCATGTCGGAAAATGTGCTGATGCAGGTGGTTGACGTAGACGCAGCAGGCAGCGTGCCCGAGAACCCGAGCGTGATGCAAAAGCCTCTGAGATTTCCAAAGCACTCTGCGATCCCGGGACAGGAATCGACACATGCTCTAGGGGAAAACAGGCTCAGGGTTTAGCCTGATTTTGATCCGCTGTTGTCTGTGCATCCTCCCGCCGACACCCGGAAGCCTCGGTGCGGCTCGGCCGCGGTGAAACGGTGATACCTTCCTGTTCCTCAGAGGCTGCACTGCTGTGTTCTCGGCGCAGTGAAAAGCTGACTGGGGAGGATAGAAGCCCATCCCCGTGCTGCTGGCCGTTCGGCCCCCGCTCATTTATCTAGTCAGCTTTATGCTGAGTTTCTTCTGCAAGGTCGTGCAGCAGCTTACATTGAAGGGAAAAAATACCATTATTTACTATTTAGAGAAATATGCTGTGGATTTATGCATTCATTCAATTATACGCTTCATTACTGTTATATATAAATATATTGGCAATGTAGTTATAATTCGGGTTGTGAATGAGTTTAGATACAGCTCTGGAATTCCCATAAACTTTATTTGGGAGTATTTCATTATTTCTAGCGTTATTTTTTTTTGCTATTGCACATGTAATATAAGATTGAGCAAATTGCTGAAATTTTCCCTTTAGCATTCAATTTTTGTGTCTGCAGTGAAGGGGCAAGGGGTCATGTGATGTGATTGGAGGTACCAGCCGGACAGACCATGTTACCATGGCGATTGTCATCACAGCTCTTAGGGGAAACAACAACATAGACGGTTGTGGTGGAAAGTTTAGGAGGAAACGAAAAAGAAGAACTTTAAAAATTAGGAAACTTTTTCTCAGTGGCTTTGGTACATTTCTCAGATGAAATTTTCCTAACTACTTGTACAACCTCCACATCATCGAGTCACTTGTGCACATCATAAATGCAAAGTCTCATTATTTTGGTCAAATTGCAAATGCTATGTCACAGTCATGCAAATGATTATGTACGATCGTCTGCCGATTCCTACGTTTTTAATTGTTTATAACATGTTAGTCAAAATGTATTATACTGGTACTCTGTTGACTAGTCTTACCCCCTAAAACATCTAGGCATTAGTTCATTGTATAAGTCATCATGCAAAATGGTTGAACTAGTCATAAGTTGGCAAAAATATTATGTATACATCTCTATTATTGTTTTTTATAAATGTGTCCTGAATTGATCAATTGCTCTCTGTTGAATCTTGATTTTCACCAATAGAGGGGGATGTTTAAAGCATTAGATCAACCAGTGATCAACCAGTTCTCTAAAATAGCTCAGAGGTGCATCTTCATGCATCATCATGAATCTTCAGTTGGCAAGCACGTAGTGACAGAGCACAACACAGTATTACAATCTGGCAATGAAAGAACAACAAGGAAATAAACAGAGTCAACAGCTGATAAGAAGAGGAGTGAGTGGTGCAAGGGGAGGAAAAACAAAGAAAGAGGTAAAAGAGGCTGATGAAATAAGGGCCACAATTAATAAGTTTGTACTGTTGAAATTGATATATGCCATGCAAAACAAGTGCATCCTTGTGCATTTCCAATCATTGTCATCAAAACCTTAGCCGTAGTTTACATCAGAAAATACGTACTGGGTGCTCTGTTCTATTGACAACATGGCTCAGCATTTTGACCATCTTGTTCATGAACAATTACACAAGGACTAGTCATTCTGGTGACTCTGACAAGATCATTGACATAAATATTTACTTTTGAGGGATAGACTAAGTTACAGGCTTTTGCAGGTGATCCATTTGTGTGGTGTTGTTTGTACAAATTGTTTCGAGAAATGCACTTACTGTTTTGCAAATGTTAAGGATGAGAAATGTACAAAAGCAACTGAAAAAAACTGTAAGAAGAAGGGGAAGATGTGGCTTTTCCGTGGGTTGCACTGTGACCTCACACCTCCAGGACTGTGTGCTTGGTACCTGCCTACCAGCTGTGTAGATTTTCTCCAGTCCAGAGACATGCAGTTGAGTGAACTGGTGCCTGTAAATTGCCTATAGAGTGTGTGCATGTGCGTTTGTATGTGTGTGTGTGTCTGTGTGTGTGTGTCTGTGTGTGTATGTCTGTGTGTGTATGTCTGTGCGTGTGTGTCTGTGTGTGTGTGTCTGTGTGTGTGTGTGTGTGTGTGTGTGAGTGACTAGTGGCACAGACAGGAGCCTCTATCTTGGCGTTTATAACCTTTGGACAAACAGACCGAGAGGCTGCGGGGGGGTCAGGTTTTGACATTAGCCAAACCGCTTAATGAGATTAATGAGATTAAAGCCTGGGGGCCACTGTCTCCCCAGGGCCCAGCACAGGCATGGCTCTCGTCCCCCCCTCCCCCAACTGCCTAAATACAAAGACGACCTGCTTCGAAAGAGGAAGATGAAAGGAGAAGAACAGAGAAGACTGCAAGGGAAAGGGGGGGGGGGGGGGGTGGGGGGGGGGTGTCAGGTACACAGAGATGTTTTAGGGCTGGTGCTGAAGTGACCTCCCTTCCTTTCTGGGAAAACCCCAAACTGCTCAGCACTCATGCTCGGGTCGCATCTCAGGCAGCATCTGTACACAGTCTCTGTGGGAAAGTGGCTCGCTTCGTTTAATAAACAGCTAAGCGAGAATGTGACCAGTACGGGTCAACCCCTGCCCGAATTTTTAGGGACAGTGGGGCCTGTCACCGCCTGGCCCTGAGGTCGCGACCTTTACATTGGGCCCCATCTGGCTCTCATCAGTCACGCCCTAGTAAGGCTGAGTCCATTCACTTCTGGATCAGGCTGATCTCACTGCACCTTCGTTGGCATGTACAGAGAAGCGTTAACTGGTTTCTGTGTGTCACTCCAGGGCTGCAGTGACATCACGTCATTTCCCCATATTTAATGACTGATCACACAATGGACCAACCCAGCAAACACACTCAGGTGATCGGCTCTACCCTCACTGAGTAATAAATAGAAAATTTGTAGAGATTAATAAAGCTATGGTGTGTTGGCTCTTTTGGCAGAAACATTTGCATCCGGCAAGCGCTCACTGGCCATGTGCTGAGCATGGAGAAGCACGTCAGGTCAGCAGGCTATTGAATCAGTCTGTCAAGATGGAAACATCCATAAGAGCCATTCAAACGGAAGGAAGGTTGTTACTGTTGCTGTTATTGTCTCATTTCCTCAGAAGGTAGCACACTTTCCATCCTAACTGCCTCTTTCTTCAGCAAAGCCTTCCTTCAATGACCCTAACCCTGCTTAGTTCCTCCCTTCAAACTCATTTCCTATCAGGTGATTGTGGGGCGGGTGGAAAATGGCCACCTGTCATCTCTGCCTTTAGGGGGCAGTAAAACACTCCCACTCAGCAGATCTGTACATACATGTATGTGAGTAGAGCAAGCATGCTCCATAGCTAACACATTTACATTCATTTGGCAGGTGCTTTTGTCCAAAGCAACCAACTAGCGCCACAGTATGTTATATTCATATAGCTTTTTCAGGCAAAAGTGCAGACAAGGGCAAAGCAGCATCGGAGCAAGAGCTACACAATACAAGACACTGTAAGAACCCATGAAAAGAGCTGTTCAGATCAGGATACCAAGAGGACTAGGTTCCTACTAAACAAGCATAAATGGCAATATTCCCCAGGAACGCTACAAGAGCACTCAGACTACAAGCAAGGAGGCAGAGAACGACGGGGCAGCTCCATGGTAAGATGAGTTAGTTGAGGAGGTCTTGGAAAAGATGGAACTTGAGACATTTCCTGAAGGGTGAAAGTAATTCTGCTAACCAGATTGGGATGTTGTAACTTGTTCCATGGAGGAAACAGATATGAGAAATGTCTGCAGTTAGGGCTGTTTTCACATGGCAAGGGGCTCCGCAGCTGGGGCCCGCTTCCTGCAAGCAAGGCACTCCACTGACAGAGCAAAACAACATGGCTAATTGCATAAATAAAGTCATTAGCAGCTTGCTTAGTAACAAATATATTGACCAATATCTCATCCTCAGTCCTTCAAAGCAAGTCCTCATTGTCTTTGGGCGGTGAGTAAGAAGGGGTAAAAAAGAGCAGCATTTTGGGGTAAATTGTTGGGGGGGGGGCTGTAAAACATACCTTAAGAGAATTAAAAATAGAATACACAGGGATCATCTGATAATACATCAAAAACATATCAAAGTAAGTAAGTAAGTGACAGATGATGGACGTAAAAGTTAAAAAGAAGATAGATAGATAGATAGATAGATAGATAGATAGATAGATAGATAGATAGATAGATAGATAGATAGATAAGCAGTGGCTTGGAACATTTTATGTGATTTCAAATCCTTCAAAAAAAAGAGCATCCAGTTGCTTAGGGCCCTGAGCTGTCAGCCACAGTCCTCCCTGGCCTCTCTGCACACCTGAGGCCTTCTGGTCACAG